AGTTGCTTGCCTGCTCGTGCTGCTGCTGCATGGGAAAGCGTAAAGAGAGAGAGAGATTGTCAGATAAGGGTTGTCAGACAAAGTAAAACATCTGACAATTGTACAAGAGGATGTCTGACAAAAAGCGGCAAGCACAAAAAGGTTATCCCCTGCGAGGCTCGAACTCACGACCTCAGGTTTATTAGACCTGCGCTCTAACCAACTGAGCTAAGGGGATAATTTGTTGTAGGCTTCGACACTTAAAAGTAAATATAAATGGAAGAGTTTGTTGGGCATCGCGTCAAGGAGTCACCATGTGTAAGACGCGGGATGCATGCTCAACCTTCATGAACGTTCTCCTGACCGTGCAACCCTTGGTGCTCCTTGCTGGCCAAAGGGCAGCCGGGTGAACGGGACCAGACCCTGCCGAGGGTGGGGCTGGCTTTGATGATGTATGATCTCACAGTGCGTGATGCTCCTGCGCTCCCACCAGCCCCGAAAGCTGCTCATGCCTTGGCGTTGACGTCTGTCCACCCCCCCGTCACTGAATTGACACAATTGAATGGGACAACGCTTGACTACGTGCTTGTGCCAGTCCCCGATCCCCGCTCGGCCGATCTCTCTCTCTGGCTCTGTCTATGGCTCTGTCTCTGGCTCTGGCTCTGTTCTCTCTCTCTCTGCCTCGGTCTCTCTGCCTCTATTCTCTCTCTCTCGCGCTCTCTCTCTCTTTCTCTCTCTCTCTCTCTCTCTCAATCCCTCCTGTCCTCACCCTCTCGCCCTTCCTTCCCTGTCTTCCTCAACTCGGTTCGTAACGTCTATACATGCTCTTTTTATTCAAGAAGATGCAGTAAAATCCAAATCACCAATATCTTGACAGTATAAAAGCCAGTGAGTTAATGTCGTAAAATCTGCAAAAGTTGCAGCAGAAGAAGAAAGGTTCCTTTCCTTCCTTTCGCCCAGCCACTCTCTCCATTTCTAAATCGCGCTAAATTTCTTCACCCTCTGACAAAGGCCACTGAATACGTGCATTCTCTTTAAAAACACCATTTGCATCATCATCCTCTACTTTCACCTTGGTTTCGTCACACACCCCACACCCGGTCACTGAGCGTCTCTCTGACTTTGCGTTGACCTCCTGCCCCTCCCTCTGGCGTTCACCCACAGCCAACCCCATTTCTCTAACCTCACGCGGCACTCCTTTCCCGCGCGTCACGGTGCGTGAAACGGCAGCGCCAAGTATCGCCTCACCCTCATGAAAGGCGTCTTGTGAAGTCGATTGAAGATTCAAACCCCCCGCGCACCATCGCTCACCTTGCGCCCCGCCCTTTCCCGCATGCAGGGAGGTCGCGATAAGCATCAGCAGTTAGACGAGTCAACGGTGAGTCCCGTCCCGACCCGGCACAGCAACGCCCCACCCCGCCCTGTCGGTTTTGGTCTGCCATCCCTTGGCACACACACACACACATACATATGCGTCCTTGTCTCTGCTGGCTGCCCAAGAGGCTGCCACTCTCCATCCCTGTTTCTGCCTCTCTCTCTCTCTCTCTCTCTCTCTCTCTCTCTCTCTCTCTCTCTCTCTCTCTCTCTCTATCTCTCTCTCTCTCTCTCTTGACCCCTGAAGCTGAACACACACGAGCACCGCTCGCGCTCACGCTCGCCTCATCTGCTGCCTCTCCCTCTCCTTTCTTTCCCTCGTTGCTCGGGGGCGTTACAATTGGCCGTTGCGCACACCTGATTGGCAGTCGTTTATCACCCTATTCAAAGAGCCACATGCCCGACTTGCTGCTCCCTGCCTTATCTTGTTTTTTTTGTTTTTTTTTCCTGCTCGCCTCTGTACGCTTTGTGACCTTTGCGCCTTCTCGTAGGGATAGAGGCGTGACGGCCATCGTAATAGGCCCTTCTAGCTGAGGCTCCGGGCCCCTGCTTTGCCCCGCGCCCGTGCCCCGCAGACTCGATGCCCGATGCCCGAACCCTGGGCTGATTCACTCCCCGTGTCGACTCGATCCGCCTCGCGCACCACCCACCATGGATGATGTCTCGGATGTGGACTCGTCCTCCATGGGCGTGGATGATCGCAGCCCCTCCTCAACCCGCGGTGGCGTTCCCCAATTCTTGCAAAAACTCTATCGGCTAGCCAACAACGACCAGCACAACCACATTATCAAGTGGAGCGACGACGGCTCCTCTTTCTGGGTGGCCGATATCGCTGCGTTTTCCCGCGATGTCTTGCCCGCTTATTACAAACACAACAACTATGCCTCCTTTGTCCGACAGCTCAACATGTATGGTGCGTACAGACGCACACCTCGTCCTGCTGCTGCACAGTGCCACCCAATCCATAAAAAGATCAGAGGTGATTCGACTTGTCACCATGGCTCATTTGGCCTTCTCCACGATGACCAGGATTCCATCGTAACACAAGCAACAAGGGCAAGGTCATGCCCGGCGTGGGCATGATCGAGCGCTTTAGCAACCCTTACTTCCGCCGTGGGCGTGAGGATCTGCTTCACCTTATCCATCGAAAATCCTCCGCCGCATCCGCCAAAAAATCGCGCACCCCCAACCCTTCCACGCCCGTCATGCAGCAACCGACACAGGAGTTTCAAAGTCGGCAACAACACCTCACTGACCAACGCCTTGTCGCCCTTGAGCGCCAAGTCCAGTTTTTGCACCTTCAGGTTAGTTTTCAGCTCGATGACACACAATTACAATACCAGCCGAGAGCCTTGGGATTGGGCGACGGTCCGCGTCGAACCAGAGTGATCTCGTAGCTGTGCTTGCCGACTTGGCGCAGTCGGTGGTTGAGCCTTCTTGTCTGTGATGCTTGACATGTTGTGGTGGTCAAAAGCAGTTGCTGGCTCTTCAAAATCACCCTGAAACGCTTGCTGCATCGTGTCTCGTTTAGAACCAAGCTTTGGCGGCACAATCGGCTCGGCAACAGGAAAACCTTTCTCAGCTCATGCGGGCGCTCACTCGCATGGGTATTAGTACCGATGCTGACATGCCCGCTCCTCTCACAGCGGCAGCACCCCCGGGCATGTGGCCCAACAGCCACCAGGGTGCATCCTTTGGTGGCGGTGCTGCCGGCGGTGCTACTCCAACTGGTGCCCACAACTTTGGCGCCGGAGGTGGCATGCACGGTAGGTCTCTTCTTCGACACGTCTGAAGTGGCACACCGTCCCTTGTCCCTTGTGCAATATCCCTGACCCCCCCCCCCCCCCCCCGGCAGTATGTCCTCTGGGCACGGCGACCATGGCGGCATGGGCCGCGGCGGCTTTGGCGGGTCTGGCTTCGACGGCGGATCCTCATTTGGACAGTCGGATGTGTCCTTCCGTGGCACTGGCAACATGGACAGCGTCTTTGTCGAAGAAAGTGGTGGCATGGACATTGACGCCATGCTGGCCAGCATTAACAAGACGGATAACGACGGCTTTGTTTCAGTCCAATAATTTCCCCCGTCTTTTTTTTTTTTTTCTGTTTTTCTCGTCTTTCCATACGCCTAGTGGCGCTATTGCATTGCGCCGCCTTCTCCCCTCTCTCCCCTTTAATCCTGCCCATAGTGTGGGCTGTCTCATGCGTGCTGTTGGGCTTGTGGCCTTTCTTCGTTTTTAATTTCGTGCACCGTGATGTTCCGTGTCATTTCTCTTTGCATTTTGCATCCTAATGTCCTCTCGCTTTGCCATCTCTTCTCCTTTGTCTCGGCCCTGGTTCTCTTTCTCTCCTGAGTTGAAAACTGGGTCATTGACGCTTTTCTGCAGATGACACGTCGCACCTTTCTTCCCAAACTCAAACAGGTCAACGGGTCAATTTGGATGGACAAGAGATGGCAGGCCAAACATGCGCCCGACAAAGCGCGGACTGTTCAAAACAGCCCAGAACCTTTGATGGTATGTGGCTGCAGCAACGCGCAGCCAACCACCCGAAATCTGCCACACAGAGAGGGAGGGAGAGAGAGAAAGGCTTTCACTACAAAAATGCACGGCTCGGTTGCTTAATCTTCCTTGCTTTCATCAAACTCAAACGGCGCAGGCGGTGCGGGCTCGTTGGCCGTAGAAACACCGCCTGCCTGCTCAACGCCAGGCTCTGATGTCTCCAAAATAATCTCCTCCTCACCCGGTGTCGTGTCAGACAATACAGTCACATCTCCACGCAGAGGCAACAGCTAAAAGAAACGGGTTGTGTTCAACGAGCAGTGAGCAAAGACATCAGAGGCAGTCATAACGGCATCATGGGCGCCGTCGAGCTCAGCAGAACGGTTTGCAAACGCAAGCGCCTACCACGGGGCGGTAACGGCATCCGTCGGGAATGGACACTACGGGCAGTTGTGCGGCCACAACGCGAGCCGGGTTGGAGAGAAGCTCTTCCTTGGGCTCAGGTTCCGCTGCGACAGGCTTCTCGTCCTCGCCTTCCTTCTTGTCCTCCTTCTCGGACTCGCCCTCAGGCTTGGTATCCATCTTTTCCGCCTCTTGGCGCTTGTTCTTCTACAGGTCGTGCGATTGATGAGAAGGGGGCTCAAGCAAGGTTGATTCTGGCTCAGAGCCATCGCCCAGAGCCAACGCCCCAGAGCCAACGCCCCAGAGCCAACGCCAAACGGCAAACAGATCCTACCTGTAGCCTGTTGGCCTTGTCCGTAATGGAAAGGACGGCAGTCGCGACCTTGTCCTTGCTCTTTTCCTTGGGGGGCTCGGTCATCGGGAAGTATGCATACCTAGCGTATACCACACAGACATCACCAATGAGCACCCCTCCTGATCCAGACAACCCGATTCTTGGAAGCTCAACCCGGACCAACCCAACTACCAGAGCCACTGGAGGAGTTGAGCAGGTGGATGCAACAACCGCAAAAATAGTGCAATAGCCTACTTGGATGGTTCAACAGCTGACAGAATATCAATCTGGGGCATCTTGAGGTCGCCGTTGAGGCAAATCAGGGCCGTGGGCGTCAAGGCCAGAGACAAGAAGTGGGTAAAGGGGAACCAGAACCAAAACTGGGTAAAGACCAGCAGACCGACAATCGACTGATCATCAATGTGTCCGTGGTCACGGCATGGCTGAATGGTAGTATTTTGACCACCGGCATACATGATGCCCATGGCCAGAACGGCACCGAAACGGGCCAGAATGGGCTGGTGTGCTTGGGACGCCACTTCATCAACCTCCTTCTTGAAGGAAGCCACCTGCAAAGCAAATGGGTGTTGACAAGTCGCGTGTGTTGAGCCGGCCCATTTGGATTGAACTTTTTGTTTGTTTGTTTCTGCCACGATCGAATGAGACATGTCACAAACCTTGGGGTGTGTGTTTTGAGCCTGAATGAGGATCATGCCGGTCGCCACATAAGCGCACTGACGCACAAACGGTGTGGCATCCTGGCAAGGTCGTTCGGCACCAGGGAGCACAGCAAAGCAGGTGTCGATTGGAATGAGAGGCTTCAGGTATATCGACGACACACACACACCCCTTCTTTCCTGTCCCCCAAGGCTCGACCCATTGCGTCGTCTGTACCGGCAGAAACGTACCTTGAACATGGGCTCAATCAGGTTGAGGGCGGAGACAAGCCCCGTACCAGCGCAGGCCACGCCGAGCGCCAAGCAGCAGCCACCCCGCACGTGAGGGTTGAAGCTCTCACAGAGCAGCGCGAGCAAGGTGGGCACCTTCTCGGGTGATCTAAATCAAACGATCGAATCGTGAGCCATTTGTCCAGGTGGCTGCGCGCCACCCAGCACATGCGCCTTTGAAACCAACCGAATCATGACAAAGCCAATGGCCACGGCCGCAGCACGGCGCACGTCGTTGCTTGCGTCACTGACAGCGATATGGAGTAGGCTATCAAAAACAAAACCACGCATTGATATTATGGTGCAATGAGTGGGCCTATTTTTTTTTTTTTTTTTTGCTGAGCCTGGCAAACACATTGATGGGATCGACCACGCGCTGTGCCGAACCGTTTGGTGACGTTGTTATCATCGGTGCCGGCGTAGGCCGTAGCCAGCATGTGGCAGCCACCAGCCCGCAGCAGAGGATCCGTGTGCTTGAGCAGAGTGGCAATCATGTCGTCGGCTTGTTCGCGACGACCTTGCTGAATAAAGGCCATACCCAAGGCCAGACCTGGATGTACAACCCATCCCCGGTACGGCCAACCAAAGGCACACACACACTTTAATGAGGTTCAGTCAAAAAGAAAAAAAAAATATGCAATCCACAAGCGCTGTAGAAATGACATGGTTGAGAACATAAGCAAGCACGCAAACCGCACCGCGAATAATCTTTTCGTGCTCAGTGGCCTCGGCGTAGTTGAACATGTGATTGATGCTGTCGTGATCGCCCGTGCCAATCATGTTGAGGCCCATGGCAATACCGGCTGCTTCACCAGCCACGGCACTGTCCATCGCCAGCGTGTTTTGGAGCGCCATTTGCGCATCGTTATCCTGGCAGCCGAGGGCCGCCAAGCCAAGTCCAAGGGCAGCACCGTGCTGCACCACCTCGGTGGATGCACCGACAAGGTACTGTGTCATGTCCGCAAGAACGGCTTGGCCATGACCCGCATGCAGAAGGCCAAAGGCATACAAGCCACCACTGATCTCGTATGGGGACCCACTGCCATCATCACGAGGCAGATAAGGCTCCAAGACCTTGCGAGCTTGGTGTGTGTGCCCCTATTCAGTGTGACGTGCAGTGAGGCGAGGTGGGGGCACACCAACGCACGGACAAAGCCACCCCCCACCGACTTGCGAGCCACGGTACCTTGTGAATCACACCGAGGCCGCTGACGGCGCTAAACTTGGCCCAGTTCTGAGCCTTCATAAGCCAGTCCTTGTTTTCCCTGTTCCCGACCAACCAGTTCATCCAACGACATCAGTAATTTGCCGCAGGCAAGGCGAATATCGACATGTCCCAACACCCTCCCGCAGCCGGAATGATGATTCTTCAGCTGTGTTCGAGCGCGACATACCGAAGGAAGACGTCGCTGGTGGTACCAGCGGACATGAGCATGTGGGCCAACACTACAGCACTATGGCAGATCATTGAGTTGGGGGTCTGATCCTTGAGGTTTTTGAGGAGGAGGAGATCACTGTGGTTGTTGCGGCTCAAAAAGTCGACGTGGAGCGTGAGCGTAATGTCCCCGGACAGAATGCTGTCCATGCGCTTGACAGCGGCAGCAATGTCCTTGTCACCCGTATCGGCACTCTGGTCCATGGCTGTGGTCTCAGCGCCACCGTTCACGGCGGCAGAAAGAGCTGCGCGCACTTGTTGCACAAAGTTTTGACGAGCTCCCTTGTTGAGCTCAAAGCACAGCTGAAAGGCAATCAAACGCTGACAAAACGAAGGAGTCGTAGGTTAACTCAAAGCGCAAGCCACTGCCAAAAACCTTTTTTTTTTCTTTTTTTTTTTCTTTTTAAAAAAAAAACGAGATTTAAAAAAAAAAAACGAGATGAATCAATACTCACATCATCGCCGCCGCGGCCCACCAGGGTATGCAAGAGACTAGCCAGACGATCTGCCTGGCCGAGGGCCACGTGGCAGCGGCAAAGCTCAACATAGTCCGGCTTGGCCACGTTGCTGTACACGTCAGCCAAGATCTCGAGGACCTGCAACAAGCAAGATAGAATTACCGTTCCGGGTCCGAAAAGGCAAATTGAGCGCATTCTTGATCAGAGCAAATTGCTGTGACGAGCTGAAGAATGATCATGCAAGGGGATGGCAGGGCAAGAGAACAACAGCGCCGACCTCATCGCGGAAGGCACGACTGGTAACAAGGGTCATGACGGCATTGAAGGTGTACTCCAGCACGTCCGGTGCATTGTTGGCGGCCGCCAGAGCTTGCTGAATGGTGTCAATGCGACGGGCCTCGAGCGCCACGCCGACGGCCTAATTCGCGAGACGCACCAAGACGAGTTGGAAATCAGGGCACCAAAAAGAAACCCCACCCCGCACCCCCAAATGAAAGAAACAAGCCCTGTGGGTTGAGCTTTGGCTGTGGCAGGCATACCTCGCGGATGTTGTCATCCTTGATACATTGATCAAACATGCGGTCGACGGTGGTCTCCAGGGCGGCTGGCACCTCCTCAGCGCGGCCGGCTTGGCGCAGGGATGAGTAGGTGTCAATGGCCTCGGCTAAGGTGGTTGGCAGATCGAGCATCACGCAGCAGATGCAAAAATGAGAGTTGGAGGGGGGTGAGAGAGCGCATGAGCGATTGCGCGAGATCATCAAGCAGTTGTCGAGCCCAAGCTTTCATGAGGTCGTGCTTCCGTGCCGACGTATGGTCCACTTACAAATGAGCGTGTTGACAAAGAGAGACTGTTCAGAGAGGTCAAAAGCCTTGCCCGCGTGCATGGCGAAGCGAAGCGAGTCTGCCATCGCTCCCAAGTGGTAGTACACCTGGCCAGGCATGGAGTGAGCGCGACCTGGGACAGTGCGAGATGGTACACGACGCAGGCATGATGAGGAGAAAAGCTGACCTTGGCAGCCAGGAGTGCGGCCTTATCGCGCTTGGGAAACATTTCATTCTCATACAACTCCTCACTAAAAAAGGCACATCAAATTGTGATGAGGGATGACTTGAACCCAAAAAGCGGTGGCGGTTGTGCCTTTGCCGTGGTTGAGGGGCAAAACTTACATGGTCGCAATGTCATCCGCAATTTCGGCCCAAAAGTCATCGACAAGCTCCAAAAGCTTTTCAATGCCAAACTCCTAGCAAGTATAGTGTGCCATGACGGGCATGCTGTGCATGAGCGAGCAGGCCGGTGGATGACACGAGTAACATCGACCTTGCGCTCAGTCGGAGACGAAATTCAGAAGGAACAACCAAAAACAGGGGTGTGGCAGAAGGAGACGAGAACGACAGCACAGAGTAGATGGAGCCGCAGAAAAGCGCGCGCGTCCCTCCTTTGCCTCTTTCCTCCCCTGGTCCTTCGCCTCTTTCCTCCCCTGGCTCTTCGCCGGCTGCCACTGCACCGCTCTCGCTCAACCGGTCGTGAAGAAGGATAAAACACGAAAAAAAAAAAAAAAAAAAAAAAAAAAAAAAAAAAAAAGGCAGCGTCACTATTGAAGATACCTGTAGCTGCTGGTCGTCATCGTGGAGCAGCGCGAGCGCGCCACCTGTCAACATGCACCGCAAGCATGCCCATGCATACAGGAACGCACTATCAGCCAAGAAGGGACGCTGGTTGCCGAGGCGGCCTGCAGTCGAGTCAGTGAACATCGTCCACCTCACTTACCCGCCGAGGTGAGTCCAGGCATAGTGCTTGTGTGTTACTGGAGCCGTCAACTCACTGTCGTCACCAAGCAATCCAGCGGCGTGGACCAAGGGACCCGGGGGACCAATGAATCCTGTCGTGCACAAACCGTAGCACACACTGGTCTATCACCCCTCGCACCCTCAAGTCGATCACCGCAGTCAAACGCGTGGTCCTGACGCGGCTGCCCTTTTGAATAGCCGGTTTTGCTGCTGCACAACACAACAAGACCCAAAAACAGTAAACTAACAAAAGAATTCTTGACACTGGCTCTGACTTTTTCTCTCTCTCTGACTTTCTCTTCTCTTCTCTCTCTGCTCTCTGCTTTCTCTCTGCTCTCTCTCTCTGCTTTCTCTCTGCTCTCTCTCTCTCTCTCACTTGTGACCACTAAGCGCCACATATGACACACTTTGAACCAATGGATATTGTAAAGCTTTGGCTTCTGATGATCCGGGGAGCTACATGTGGTAGCAGGGCTATACCTGGAGCAAAACGAGCAAAACGAGCAGCATGCTCAGGGTGAGCCGCCCTCGACGACTTTAGTCACGCTTCAGAAACCACGTCGTAAAAAAACAGGTCGGGCTATGGAAGCCTCTGCTAATTGCGCGCTGACGGCGCCACACAGTCGAGCAGAATGTGCATCGGCAGGAAGCAGACGATGGTCGGCGTGAAACAGGTAGGAGACTAAAAGACATGAGCGAAAGCATTGTTCAGGCACGAGTGGTGGAAAAGACCCTTCATGTTCGACTGTGTTGAGCATTGACGTCAATTGCGACTTCAACCCAAATCGAGGTAGATAAGGCAGGTGAGCCCTTCGATTAAAATTGGCAGGGACTGGACGTCAACTGTTAATAAATATGAAGACACAAGACATGCTCCGACGAGTCGTCGTCTCGCAGGGCGCCAGTAGGGCGCCGGAAACTGGTCAAGACGGAAGTACAAGGTGTGCCCAACCAAATTGATCATGCCAGCAGCGGCGAGGCAGACTGCGCGGCGAGCGGGGTGGGAAGCCCGAAAAAGCCATCCGAGTCAAACGCCAGAAGCGCATCGTTTTCAAAGTGATGCAAACACGTTTGAGGGGGACCAGGAATGAGGGTATGCGGTGAGGGAGCCGCTGATGGCACGGACACCAGAGCACGCGGCGCCGCGTGTCCACCCGAAAAGTCGACTAGTGCGCTGCCATGGCCGTCACAGCTCAGCAGTGCTCGAGTAGCGTTGAAGCGCAGGTGACCGACGGCACCCAGCCCCGTCAGGTGAAATTGCTGCAAAGGTCGCGTGGCCATGCGCACGTCCCAGAGGGCGACGGCGCCTGCGTCGTGCCCCGTTGCCAGGGTCTGTGCGTCGAGCCAGCAGTGACCATAGGCCGTCGACGCCATGTGCAACCGCACACCAGCGCGGCCCGTGTCACACAGGTCTCGGAGCTCCAATTGATTGTTGTCCAGGGCCACAGAGAACGTGTTGAGCGACTGCGGTCGCCATGCCAAGCTGGCCACGGCCTCGGAGAGGTGCTGACGATACACGCAGCTCGAGAACTCGGTGCGTCGGCGTACTGATTCAGTGCGCCCCAGGTCCAAGCACCGCACCACCCCCGAAAATCCACCCAAGAGCAACAGGGGTCGACTCGCGTTGCGCTCAAGCTGCTGCAGAACTCCGTCCGTTTCCTTGCTCCAGACGCAGCGCAATTCTCCATCGGTTGGTCGGAAAAGCCGTAGTTTGGTACCGGCCGCCACATACAAGTGCACAGCGTCCGTCGTCGTGTGCAGCGCCATACTACGCACGTGTTGCCCAACCCGGACGCTGGCAGCGCTACGAAAATCACCCGTGCGGCAGTCCAAGCGAGCCACCACCAAGCGATTAGGCTGGCATACCCGATCTGCAACAAACTGACTGTCTGGCAACATGCTACTCATGGCGACCAGCGCCGTGCCGCTGGGCGAGGCTGGTGTGCGTGGCGTTGGCGGTGGCGAGGCGTCTGTACTTGAGCTTCCTCCCTCATCGCCATGATCTGTGTTGTCGTCTTCGTCGCTGGTCTCTAGAGCGGTCACCCATCGCCATCGCGGAACCAATACATGTAAGATCAGACCGCCACTCGGGGGCACATCGCATGATCAACTGCGAGTCGGGATGTGCCCACTTACCCGATGGCAGGCAAAAAGCATTCTCAAAGAGGTCCGTAACACTTTTGTGATCCGCGGGCAGCTCTTGCAGGCGCCCCATGGGACATAGCATGCCGGCGGCGTGTTCTGAGGCAGAAGGGCGAGTCAACAAAATGTCATTATGCCATCCGCCAGCACCAGCGAGATGCGTCAACGTCAATCGCCCCCAATGTGACCGGGCCTTACCGCCATCCAATGGACACCACACAGAAGTCTTGACACTAGACTTGCCCGAGATGCGGAAGCGACGTCGCTGCGTGCCCGTTTCAATGACATGGCGTTAGCTGGAAGAATGTACCAGGAAAAACCGCATTGCTATTCGACACTGGCCGGCTAGCAAGGCGACAGGCACTCAAGGCTGTGCCAACGAACATACCGCCATCCAGGGGGACGCCCGACGGCGCACCAGCAGCCGATCGGCTTGCAGGCATGATGGGTTTCGCGGCATGGAACTCGTCAGGCCGGACGGAGGATCGAGCAGGTTGGTTGCAGTCGCTTGGTGGTACCGTTGGCGTTGGAGGTGGCTGGCCAGCTGAGCCACACGCGAGCGCACTGCCAGCTGCTCCGAAGGTGTCAGTGCGTCAGCTTCTGCCAATGTCCCACACAAAAACGCAAGTTGATGAGCTTTATCAGCTACCCACGGTATCATGAAGCCAGGCTCGTGCTTGATCGCATTGAAGGTGTGTGTGTGTGTGTGCCACGTACCTGAGCCTGACGAGGCGGCCTGGAAACGAGCCGCTAGCATGAACTGAAGGTGATGAGGCAAGCTGGCAAAGCCTGAACCGTTTGGGATGGGCACAGACGCCGGGGCGGGGCGAAGAGCTGGGGAGACGAGTCCTGGCGCCACCCGGGAGGCTTGAGGAGCCACAGATGTTGGCATGGCATGAGTGGGAGCGGCCTGCAGCTGGGCGTCATCCCAGCTGGTGTAGGAGGAAGACAGCGTCGGAGATGAGGCACTCTCGTTTTCCGACGCAGACGAGAGAATCGTGGAATCTCGGGGCGAGGCCACAAGAGGCGCTGCAGATTCGGCGGATTCAATGGCCAGTGTGTTCACGTAAAAGGAGGGCAGGCTCATGAGCGAGCCGGGCCAATCAAGTGGGGAGCCGGCGTCGGGGATTGGCAAGCCAGCGTCGCGCGATAGCATTGCCCCGCCTATTTCACTGTGGGCAGCCATGGCTCAGACCGTGCTTGCGCGCAGTGGGTGCGCGTCTGAGGGGTTGGTTGGCGGTGCAGGGGCGACACAAAGACGCCAGCGACGACAGAGAAATGGCGCTTTATTTTAGTGTCCGCCAACGGTTGTGTCCCGTGGCAAGGGCCAACGTGCATGCCCTTGCGCCACTGCCCGCTGCGCCCGTGGGCGAGCCCCCCATAGTCATTGTCATTGGGAGCAGCGACCGCATAGTAATAAAGGAAGAGTGCGGCACCATGGCCAAGGTCATAGACAGATTGCGCTCGACTGGTGCCGCACCAGATGTCACGATGTCACAAATTGTGAAAAAAAAACATCATATGGGTTTGACATCTTGACATCTTGAGTATGAGTACGACACATTCATTAGGGCGAGAAGTGAACCAGATGGCGCTTGATCGTGGGGACTGCGACATGTGTCTGCCGCGTAACAGGTTGACAGCGCTGGTGGACTCGTGGCTTGAAGTTTCGTGCCCCACGCTGGAACTTTCGTCATTTCTTTCGTGTGCATGCTGTGTTTTGAAGAATATGAGTCATTGGGACCCAGAGCCGAGGCATGCACTTTCGCACGCGTCTTGAACATCCCTCAAAACATGAGCGCGGAGTTGAGGTCTCGTGGGGCTACTCACAACCGTTGTTTGTCTTGGCAGCATCCACATGTGATGATCCCTGAACCCTGTCCTAAACTCTGTCCAATTCAACCACGCACTTCGTGTGACAGCACTTCTCACCTCTCTTTTCATGTTAAAGCGATCCATGGGACCATGCCCACCAGCCCCCACGCCCAACAATCCTCTCAACCCCCCGCCAACTTCATCCATACCCCTTCCAAGACCTCCCTCCCGAGCTGCCGCCATCGAGACGGCGTCTCTCTCTCGAAATCTCTCTCGAAATCTCTCTCGAAATCTCTCTCTCGAAATCTCTGTCTGTGTGTCTGTCTGTGTGTCTGTCTGTCTATGTGAAACAACAAGGAGGAGTGTCGATGTCAGAAAACAATGTCAGAAAGACCAAGACCGTTTTTTTTTTTTTCCATTCAACAAGCGCCAACTTGATTTGGCGGGAGAAAGGGCATGGTGGTTGCAAAGGGACGAACGTGATCTCGGCGCGGGAGCAGCTCGGGTCAAGAGGATTGCACTGAGGTGGAGCGACCTTACTGTTTGTGATTGTTGTCATGGAGCAGCCGCAAGATTACGTGACCCTCGACCACTTGCTGTCGCCCCCCGCGCGCTCAGACGCCGCGCCGTCCGCCGCTCGCAGTCAAGGCACGAGCCTCAGCACGGGCGAACACGCCACGCCCCCAGGCTCGCCCCTGGGCGCCAACTCTGAAACATCCCCGTTGCTGTTTCAGAGATCTCTGCGCACAGCCTCTGTAGCATCTGCGACTGGAACCCCAACGGCTGCCACGATGAGTGCCGCGTACGTTTCTGCTCTGCTCGCATCAATCCAATCGCTGCGCCGCCGTGACAAGAGGAAGCATACCTTTGACTCACGCCAGTCGATGCCTGTATGAATCTCTGATTCGCTACAGCTCCTCCAATCAGGAAACTCCTTGCAAGATGGCAAAGCTCCAGGCAACTTCGCAGGAAGAAACGGCTAGCCAGCCGCGCAAGAGCCTTCCCCCCGAAATTCAACGGATGGTCGAAGAGAAGCGCCGCCGGGCAATGCTCCTTCGCAAGTATGACCCTTGGTACCCGAGTAATCAGCCTAGCCGTCTCGATTCTGGGACAAGCGCGTTGGAATGCATCTCAATCAAAAATCATCTGCCCTTGTCTGCTACGTGACATCACCAGCATTCGCGGACAAACTGCGGCAACTGGCGTACCAACCTCGATTGAGAAGCTGGAACAGGACCGCTCTGCCGTGTTGCAGGATGCTAAAAAGCCGCCCACGCTCTCAAAAGAGCAAGAACGCGTCAGTCTACAGCGCGCCCTCCGTGTGAAGCTTGTGCATCTGCAACCCCGACCTCTTTCACAGCCAGCCAGCCCCGTTCCTCATGGCCCGCCTGAATCTGCCGCACTGCTGTGCATTACGGATGTTCGCTGACGACACCTCAGGTGGTCACAGCAGCTTTGGCCGGACGCAACATCTTTCTGACAGGTTCTGCTGGTGTGGGCAAGTCCTTTACCCTGCGCTACGTCGTCGATAAGCTGGCCAGCGTACATCGCAAAATCTTTGTCACCGCTACTTCGGGTAAGTCTGCCTCTCGCTGTCCGCGAATAGCAGACCCACAAGCTCTTGTGCCAGTGCTTTGCCTGAATTGTGGTTGGTGGCACTCGGTGGGCAGGAATTGCTGCTGTCAATCTGGACATGGGATCCATCGGTACCTCTACGATCCACAGCTATGCTGGCATTGGCTTGGGCAAAGACAATGGACACATCATCTACAACAAACTGATGGCACCCTTCAAGAAGAACGAGAACAAGAAACGACCCTCGAAAAATTCAGTATGCTGTTATTCTTCGCTTCATGCACACGTGCACTGGTGTCACAGCACCTGCCTCTATGAGGGCTGCATTGACTCTGACTGACCCCAGCAACGTTTGAGATCTTTCCTCACTCTCAAGCAATGTTTGTGCTTAGGCGGTGGAGCGTTGGCGCGCGACCCACGTCTTGGTGGTTGATGAGGTCTCCATGCTCTCCGCCGAGCTGCTGTCCAAACTCGACCTGATTGCCCGACGCGTTCGCAACATCAACCGCCCATTTGGGGGCATCCAGCTGATTTTCACCGGCGACTTTTGCCAACTACCGCCCGTGCCCGACTTCATTCCATGCCCTTTCTGCAATGAACCCTGCCCTTTCAAGGGTGAAGCCGACAAGGTCAGAGGATGTGAAGGGCCTGCTGAGCCACCGCATCATCGGCACCTTGCGGCGGTCCTCCCCACGCTCACCTGCGCACGCCTCGGCATTTCAATAGCTGACAACATTACACACGTGTGAAGTCTGCAAGAAGGAATATGACCCCGCAACACGGTGCGGGTGGCCGCCGCAAACTTGTTCCCCAAGCTCCACGGGGGAACGAGGAAGCATGTACCCAGCATGATTCCCTCACGCACGCCTGTTTTGTTTGTTGTGCTTGTGCTTTGTTCAAATCTAGCTACTGTTTCGAAACAGATCCAAGGGGCATCAACGTGTGGGACACGTGCAATTTTGAGCTGCATGAGCTGACCCAAGTGTTTCGGCAATCTGATCAGGAGTACGTATGCGATGGTGCTGATCCTGGTTTATGGCTCTGGAAGATGTCTGACTTGATTTCATGATTCGACGTGTAGGTTTATCTCCGTGCTGCAAAATCTCCGTCGCGGTGAAGTTCAACCCAAAGACGTGGAGTTTTTGTATCGATGTCAACGACCTTTGCCAGTCAGTCCCATTCGGCCCACCAAGCTGTACACCACCAATGTGAATGTTGATGACGGTCAGTAGTTGTCTTGTCTTGGGGCCTGCTGTTCCGTGCACTTGGACACATACCCGTCCCCCCCCCAACGTTTTTGGTTTGAAAAACTCATCTCTATGCTGTGCACTCTTGTGTATGCGAGTCGATTGCTAGAAAACAAAATTTTCTTCTCCAAGCTTACGCATAAGCAGCATGAATTCGTGTCGTACGATGAGTTTGGAGGCGGCCCAAAGGGAGAGCGGATGCTCAAGGCCCTTGCACGCGACTGCGCAGCACCAACTCATCTTCATCTCAAGAAAAATGCGCAGGTGGGCATGCGAGGGGCCTGCTTCCCTCGCGCGCTGGCCACACCGCTAATAGAACACTGTGGGACGCCTCGTGGCTAGGTGTTGCTGCTGCGCAATTTGGCGCTTAAGCAAGGGCTGTGCAATGGCTCACGTGGAGTGATCGTGGACATTGTGCACCACACCAAGCTTAAAGAGCACAGCGTTTATGATGAGCCTCTATCGCCGGAAGGCGTCAATGTTGGCAAATGGTTGGCCACGCAGCCCATGATACCCATTGTGCAGTTTGAGAACGGCACGCTGGTGCCAATTGGGCCAGCACCATGGGAGTCTCGATTGGATCGGAACACGTTTGCACGCCGCACGCAAATCCCACTGCGTCTGGCTTGGGCCATGACAGTGCACAAGTGAGTTGCGCTTGGCGGCATGGCTCGCTGTGGTGCAGGCTTTGATGCCGATATACGGGTCAAGGTCGGCAGCTTTGGAGAAGAGCCTTTTGACCACATCATTTTTTCTTTTTTTTTTTTTTTTTTTCCCTTTCGGGCCGCCGTGCAGATCGCAGGGCATGTCACTGGATAAGGTCCAAATCTCATTGTCCAAAATCTTTGCAGCGGGCCAGGCATACGTGGCCTTGTCTCGATGCCGAACGCCCGAGGGTTTGGAGCTGGACCATTTCAATGCGGAAGATGTGTATGCAGATGCGCGCGTCTTGGCATTTGTGGGTAAGCTGCGGCGAAACGACGCGACGTCACAAGCCAATGCAGCGTTGACGGCTGCCGACTCGGCGCTGTCAGCAGCACGAGAGTTGAGCAGCTCGGAAGCCTCCGGGATTGAAAATAGCACGGCCAAGCAGCCCATTGATGCTGCTTTGTCAGGTGATCCCGAGAAAGCAGAGGAGCCGGTGGCAGCGGAAGAATTTGTGCCGTCCACACCAGAGAGCGTATTGATGATGTCCAGTCCACAAGCGACCACGCCAGCGCCCTCTGGTGACTTGGCCAGCTGGCGCATGCAGATGATGCATCTGATGGCCGAGGCCCAAACATTGGGCTTGAGCTTCGAGGTGCGTTGATATCTGCCAAGATCGAAGCAGCATCCTAGATGCGTGGGGTCGATGCCCCCACCGTTTCCTCTCTCCCTCTTCCTCTCTCCCTCTTCCTTTCTCCCTCTTCCTCTCTCTCTCATTTCGTGGACGGGGGCTGGGTGCTGCGCTGTCGCGTGTTTAGGAGGCGCTGGCTTCGGTGCGCCGGGCGTGGGAGGAGGCACGTCATTTCGAATCGGCTTGAAGCTGGGCGCGCACGCGAGCTGCGCATTGTTCATAAGCCTGTGTGCAACAAGTGTCGACCTGAGTGAAGAAGCGAAGAGGCGCATCAAGTCAGAGCATGGCACCCTGGAACGTTTGTCTTACCTCGATGACGGCGCGACAGGCGTCTTCATTGTAGTTGGACTTGGCCAAGCACGTCTGAATAGCGCAGGCCTTGCGCTGGCAATCTTCCGCCAAGCGACGTTGCAGCTCTGCATCCTCCACGGGCCCCGCTGCCATCGTCCTGAGTGGATCAGTGACTCGAAGTTTCTTGTTTTTTAAGAAAAAAAGAGGGGGAGCCACGCTTCTCCTTTTTTAAGAAAAAAAAAGGGGGAGTATCACGCTTCTCCTTTTTTAAATCATAATAATCTGACAATTGAACCGATGATGTTTGTCTGACAATCGTTGGTGATTACATGTGCGCCCACCGGTTGGGGTGGGGGGAACGGGACAAACGGCAGCCGGTGCAAGCCGCGCAGGGGGGCAGCGCGGTACAGGGCAGCGCGATACAACATAGGGCAGCATAGGGCAGGGGGAGGGATGAGGGATGTGTGTCAAGAGGATCATTGACCCAATGCTTCTGAAAAGAAAAGATAAATACATGTAAATCAGTGAGTCAGTTGACGTCCCAGAACGCGACGCAACACACACACACACACACACACACACACACACTGTAGTGACGTGCATTTGTACAGGGGAGGGGGGCGTCAAGACGAAACGGCAGCGTCAGGTCATCAACAAGAGTTCCAATTGCGGATCGGGTTGTGCAGCAGCTGGGTGGGATCACTTTCGTCTTGCGGCTGTAGGTGACGAGTTTGTGGCGTTGAGCAGGTACGCCGTGCCGTCTGATGCGCCATACAGTGAGCTGGAGCCGCGGTCCGCCCACCTGGCAGGCTGCCGCTCCACACACACACACACACACACTCACACACATATACGCCAGGGTTCTGTTGCGTTTCAAGTGCCAGCTGTTTGTGGTGGACCTGATGATTGCAGCATCAGTCCAAACCTTCTCCCATTCTTCCATCCATCCGTGGCGCTGCCGTTTCGGCGGACTCATGTCTGGCTTGTTGCCATCTACACTTCTCGGTTGCTGAACCCGCGCGCAGACTGCAGCCCAAGTGTGGAGGCGTGCTTTTGGTGAACAAACGCCAAAATGAGTATGCGCAAGAGCTCAAAAAAGTTGTCGGCAGCCTCCGGCTCCATGGCCGGCGGCTCCTCGGATGATCTCTCTCTCATCGGTGCCGGTAACTTTTACGATGTCAACGGCTACAAGCCCGTTCTCAAGCGCATCAACCTGGGTCCAAAGCGCGGCGAAGAGTTTGTTAAAATGCTTCACGAACGGTGCGTCAATCACCTGCCACGCCACCCCCGCTGCGCAACGCGCCGCCGGCTCAACCTCTACACATATGCTCAACCCCTCTTCGCAGCGCGAGCATTGAGAAAGAGTACAGCAAAAAGCTCCAGGCCTTTGCCGACCGCTGGGATGAGCGCGTCAACCAAAAGACCTATGAAAAGTACACGCTCAGGGATGCCTACATGGCCATCCTCGATGAGACGCGTGCCATTGCCGATATCCACACCAGTCTGAAGGTACCATCTTGACTTCTCGCCACAGCCCCCCTCCCACACACACACACGCACCCTCACCTATCCATCACCACCCGGTTTTGCTCATGCATGTACGCGTGCAACATAGGAGGCGCTGTGTGATCCTTTCAAAGAAAAATTTGAGACTTTCCGCAAGGAACATTACCCCAAAAGCATCCTCCACTACAAGCCTTGGAAGCGCGCCCACTCTGTCCGTCATGCTTGACCCACCTCTCCGACTCCCTCTTGAAATGCAGATGATCAGAGTCCAGTCCCCCTGTCTCACCTCTTTGCACCCCTTCATCCGCGCCCCACATGGTCCAGGCTTTTGAGAAGGGACAGGCTTCATGGGCTTCCATCAAGGGCAAGATTGACAAGCACCGTGCCAACATTGACAAGCAAGATCAGGTGGGTGACTTCCCGCCACTGCGCTCCTCAGCCCCATGGTCACCACGGCCACACGTGCCCGCACCTCGCTGACCTCACACCCGCGCCCTGCATGCCAATCCCGCATAGTTGATTGCCCAGCTGCAAGAGCAGCGCGCGAGCATGGGCGCCACTGAGAAGCTCGAGTCGCAACTGAACAAAGTAAGTCGCTACCCAAGCCTCGCGAGCTGCCAATTCGGTCAGTGCGGCCTGATAGTTGGCGCTTGCCGTTTTCTTAGGCCGAGGCATCCAAAAAGAAATCCCTGGCTAAAATGCGCCAACGCATCCAGGACATGCGCAACGGTCTTACCACTTCATATCGACGAGCGGTACGACCTAAGATCCTCGAACCGCTTGCCTGCCTAGTATTATTTGCACTTGCCGGTCCTTCTGGGCGCATCGATTCACTTTCAACGGCTGCACCCCAATATAGATGGAGGTGGAGTTTAATCGTTGCCAGGAAGAAGAAGGCCGTACGATGCTTCCTTGTCGTTCCTTTCGAGCACCCAGCCTCCTTGGTGGGCCTATGAAGACATTTCCGCAACACTTGTTCATTGTTATTGAATGCTTGCAATGGTCCTTAGAACGCATTCAATTTTTCAAGGAGATGATGCTTGAATACCACGCCAAATCGGATATCATGGCCCGGTATGTACCGCTGGCCAGTTCTCAGACACACGAAAATACAGGCGAGCAGCCTTTGACTTATTGTTTTTTGTTTTTGTTTTTTGAAAATGCAGTCTTCAATCTTCACATGCCGCTCTTCTGGAAGTTATCAACATTATCAACGTCCCCGCTGATCTTGCCAAGTACGCTCCAACAGCCTGGCCCTTGAGCTTTCCGACTTGATTGTTTCCGAGTCACCTTGAGCCATCTCGAATCTTGGATCGCGCTCATCACAGGACTGTGCACATTCTCTTAGCTTCTCCAAAGATTTTGGCGTCGACATGCCCATGCTTATTCCCGATGATAACGGCCACTGGTGTGTTTGGGCGATCCCTTGCCGGCTTGTTCATCGCAGTCCTGCTACCAAAAGAACTTCCAGGGGAAACTTGACTGCTCCCACCCCACGAGGCCTCACCACATGCTTTGGCTGTGCTACCAGGGTCTTGGAAGGCACCAATGACGTGTATACCGCACCCGCCGCAACAACCGTACCCGTATCCCGTCAACCCACCCAAGTCTCCATGCCCACAGGAGGTAGCCGCGTTTCAATCCAGGTATGGGTTAGACACGCGGCATGCGCCACCCGACCTTGGCTCATAAGCCATGTCGAGCTGACCACCACCCGTATTGCCACGCGCTGTGTAGGTGGATGAGGAGCCTGCCCCGCCACCACCCGCACCACCCGCACCAGCACCAACTGCGGGTGCTGTGGCTCCTCCACCAGCCCCTATGCCACCGCCTGCTCCGGCCACGGAGCAGCCACCACCGCAATATCAAGAACATCACTCAGGTTTGCATATGTACATTGACTTGACGGGGCCTTTACCTCAAACAGTGGCTTACACATCATCTGAGGACTGCCGTGTGCGCTTGTGATAGATGCCAGTCCCACGGAACCAAGTCAACTCTCTGCAGGCTCCCGCGTTACCGCCCTCTACGATTATGCTGCCAATGTGCGTTAAAGACAGAACTTGCTTTTCGATGTCCTTAAGCCCGTCAAAACTTGATTCACCTGTCGTGATCTGCCCTTTGTGCCTGCGCAGAGCCCTGATGAGCTGAGTTTTGAGTATGACGATGAGCTAGAACTTCTCGAGCAACCCAACGATGTACGGTTTTTTGTTTTCCTTTTTGCCTTCCGAAGCTTGATTGGCCCCTGGCGTTTTGATTCACTGTTACCTGTCCTAGATTGATGCGGGCTGGTTGAAGGGCAAGCTGATTAGCACCGGCGAAGTGGGCATCTTTCCTGGTATGTCGCCTACGCCCAATGTGCACCTTGGCACCGTTCAAAGGAGATTCGCATTCATGAAATTGTGTCTATTTGCCAGCCAACTACGTGGAAAAAAGTGTTCTCTAAGTGACAAGACTGGCGTCACCAACAGGGACGTGCGTTTGATGTTTCCTATCGAGTATTTCTCAGGCGCGCGTGACGATGCATAAGATTTGGGATCCCCCCACCTGTGATTTCATACCTGAAGAACGGTATCGGTATCGTGCAACAAACGTCTGGATGAGCACAGATGTGTTTGTTTATGTTAAGAGATGCACGCACACAGGCAGGACGTTTCATTAAATTTGGTCGTCTTTTCTTTTTTCTTTTTCTTTTTCCTTCTTTTTCTACTCTTTTCGGGAGCAGAACTGTTGCAATGATGGCACGCAGTGGCTCGTCCACGCGAGGCTGATCAATCAACGTCGTTATAGGGCAGGGTTGATGAGAGAGGACGGTCGAAAGGGTGGACCTAGCACTTGAGCAGCTCGACGTCAAACTCAAGGTCGGCATTCTTGGGAATGTCTGGGGGCGCACCGCTCTTGCCATAACCAGCTGCGGAAGGAATGACCAAACGACGCTTCTCGCCAATCTTCATGCCAGCCACGCCGATGTCCCAGCTAGAAGGGAGAGCACGGCAATACAGGACAAGTACAGATAGGCAGTGAGGACCCAAGCAGGGTGAGTGAACAAGGAGCGACCGGTCATTTCTTTAGAATAGGCAACGTACCCAGCAATGACTTCACCGCGACCGAGCTTGAAGCCGATTTGACCGGCATCAAACTGCTTGCGGTTCTTTACAAGGCGACCACGGTAGCGGACCTGAACCTTGTTGCCGCGCGCTGCCTCCTTGCCCTTGCCTTCCTGGACAACGTAAGCCTTGACCCCTGTCAAAAAAACAAAGACGATGATACATTCACACAGCCAAGAAGATGAGGGGTGGTGGGGTAGCAAGGTCAACCACGAGAATGTAGAATCAAGGGATATCCATCCCCATGCGCTCGTGCGCTGGCGTACCGCGGGAAAGGTTGAGGAGCTTGGGGCCCTCGGGCTTGCTCTTCTTGGACTGGGGCTCAGCGGCGTCCTTGGCCGCACGCTTGGCCGCGGCCTCCTTCTGTTGCTGCTGCTGTTGTTGCTTCTGCTTCTGCTTCTGCTGCTGTTCCTTCAGCTTGGCCTGCTGAGCCTTGAGCGCAGCCTCTGCCTCGCGCTTGGCGAGCTCTTCGTCGTCATCGTCCTCATCCTCCTCGTCTTCTTCCAGCTCTTCCTCGTCCTCATCCTCATCATCCTCATCCTCTTCTTCCTCCTCCTGACGGAAAAACAAACCAAGGCATAATGGGGCAGGAGTGGAACAGGGGTGAGGTAGGAGTTGAAACGGAGACGAGCGAATTTGAAGGCCATTCCAGAGGTCAAAAGCTG